TTTTTTACACACAGGATTCCCCGGAATTGGGTTGTCGCCTGCATTTTTTTCCAAAATGCTGCTTTCGCTGGGGCGCCGGCCTCATTTTCGGGCCCCGCTCGTTCCGAATCGTGTTCCCGCTGCAGCGCTGGCCTCATTTCCGTGTTTCCGCTCGTTCCGAATCGTGTTCCCGCTGCAGCGTTGGCCTCATTTCGGCGCTTCTGCTCGTTCCGAATCGTGCTCCCGCTGCAGCGCTGGCGTCCTTTTCCCGTGTCATGCCACGACATGCAATGCAATGTTAGGTTGCGTTCCGCTGCGCGATGCCATGCTTAAGTGCCACGTCGTGCTATGCCATGCTACGCTTTGATCTTCAACACCATGCAATGTTATCTGCGGGGCCGCTGTGCGATGTCATGCCTTGCGTTGCAAAGCTTTGTGATGCAATTCTTCACTACGCCACGCCACGCCATGCTGTGACATACTACGCTTTGCGGTGCTCTTCTACGCCATGTCACGCCGTGCTGTACAATGTATCGCGTACCCTTTGGGGATCATTGCCCTGCTCGACATCCGACGGTGCGAGTAGAGAGGGGATCTACGCCATGGTAAGGGATGGGAGGGAGGGGTAAGATGTCAGATACGACGCGAGCGCACCCAGCTTGTCCCCGTCCCCCTCCCCCTCCTCCTCCTCCTCCTCCTCCTCCTCCTCTCCTCCTCCGCCTCCTCCTCCTCCTCCTCCTCCTCCTCCTCCTTCTCCTCCTCATCCTCATCCTCCTCCTCCTCATCCTCCTCACTCCTCACTCCTCCTCCTCCTCCTCCTCCTCCTCCTCCTCCTCCTCCTCCTCCTCCTCCACCTCGCCCGGCCTGCCCGAAAAAAACTGGCCTCGGGGTGCGGCGGGGGGATTATCTAAAAGGAAAAGGAATGGAGGAAAGAAGAAGAAAAAGGAGAAAAAGAAGAGCGGCCTCGGGGGGCGGAGTCTGGCGCGCGCCTCTTGCTCTAGCCCCTGCCGTCGCCCGCGCAGCGCGGGCGCCTTCACTCAGCTCACGGCGTCGCGCACGCCGAGCTTGAAACCGACCATGGCGTAGATCGTCGGCCTCCATACAAATTCAGTGTCCTGCAAACCAGGCAGCCAGCTCACCAGCCCTGCCTCCCGTAGGTGCATTGCCCTCCTTGACCACCGCTCCTATCTGAAGTAGTGCACGGTGAATGGTATCCTGGATGCTGACCCACTGCAGCTGTTCCTCCATCGTCCATGCGCCCTGCACGAACAGCGAGAGCTACGCTGAGAAGGAGTCGAAGCACTTGCTGAGTTTGAAGTGTTAGTCTCTGAGCAGTACCGTCGCTGCGTTGATCTTGCCCAGGAAGAGACTGGCAGTGTAGTTGACAGTACACGTAGCGCCTGAGTGGCCAATTCATGTCCAGTATACGCGATCCTTGAACTGAGGGCTTGGCGTTCGGCTTGTCGAGCGTGAAGCTTAGGCCGTGATGAGCGTCCAATGGAGCGAAGCCGACCCGGTAGACATGATGAAGTAGCCCTTCGAGACATTGCACGGTCCGCGGCGGCGCCTCCATCAGCTCCTCGTAGAAACCGAACCCTTGGGTCTGCGGCTTTGTCTCTGCGGCGTCTGTAGGCTGCAGGGTGATCTGTGAAATGTCAGCTGGCAACGACCATTCGGGAACTTGAGCTCGTAGATTGAAGTATTTGAGCCGCTTCTTGTCTCCGTAGTACAGGATGCCCACGTACTCCTTCTCCTCGTGATACTCATCCTTGATCTGCTGCGTGACGTCGTCGTCGCGGTCCTCGAAGGCGGCCAGGAACAGCTTTTTCTCTTCCTCGAAGTCGACAGGTTGAGCCTGAAATCCTCTATGAGCGCCATTGAGTGCGCCGTGCGTGGTCCTCTCGGCGAGGCTCGGTCTCGAACGGGCTGCCCTGCTGTAGTAGTTGCGGTTTCTCTTGCCGTGATTGGTGCCTGCCATGCACTTGTTGAGTCGATGTCTTTCGACGTGCTGCCTTTTTTTTGCCATGCCTCAGAGATCTGTGCCTCTGATGCTCCCTAGCATGCTGCGTCGTGAAGTAGCTTCTGCTTCTTGATAGCTCTCGTGAGTGCGTCCAGCTTCTCTCCGATGACGGGATCCATCCCTGCGCCGATGTACTGATTGCGTAGACCCGCACTTCTCTTCAGAAGCTGGGGCTTCTCTGCCATGAGCTGTTTGCTGGTGTCAGGTTTTTTTGTTTTCTCTCGACGAAGGGCTTGGCTGTGGTCTTGAGCATGTCGATCAGAAACTTCCCCTGGTCGCATGTGGTGCCCTGCTCTTTGAGCTCGCGGATGGTATCTGCGTGGTGCTCCAGCGAGGTCGCGAGGGCTGATATGAACTCGTTGCGATAATCACCAGTCTGAAGAGACTCTGCCATTTTGTCGTAATCCCATAACGTCCGAAGAGTGCCAGAGAAGATATTGTGCATGACGGTGTCGGCCCTGGCTACGGGTGGTTCATGGTCCCTCGGGACGCTGTACTTGAGCTGCTGAACCGCTTTCACTGCCTTCCACCAAGTACCGCTTGTCTGCAGATTCGGCAATACCCCTGGGGGAACCACGAGGTAATCAGGTCTCGTAGCTAGTCCGGTTGCACCAAAATAGGTAGGGCCAGCCTTCCAGAAGGTACTGGGGAGGCGGAATCCGTGAACGTCCACCATGTTATAGCAGGAGGCTGCTGCTTCACCTGGCCGACCGTGTAGTTGTGAGTCTCCGAAGGCCTCACGTACTTCATCTGCAATGAGCCCGTCAGCTCCACAATGATGATCTTTGAAGTCGATGCCTATCGACGGTGTGCTGCGCGCCGGCGTGGCATGAAGCGCACTGTTGATCCACTTGTGCGTCTCTGCGTCTGTTGGACCCACTGGATAGACTTTGCCGCCAGCCCCGAGCGAGGCGAGAAGTAGGCCGCGATGAAGGCGAGGTCGCACTCGCCCCTCTGGAAGCGGAGAGCACCAGCGTATCCTTGTATCTGCTTGGGCGGGGTCTTGATATCGACGAAGGCTCGCTGACCGAACCGCTGGGAGCTCACCATGATCTCCTTTCCCTCATGGCTGGTGGTGAGCGGTCCGCGGCCATAGCCCCACGCGTAGACTTCGTGCTTGAGAGTCTTGAGCTGGTCGATCTCTGAGCTGGCGTCGCGCAGTCGCCAACGCATAGCTGGGGGCAGCTGCACGTCCGCGGCGCTGTGGGCGTGGCTGATCACGAGGCGGTGATGTAGCGCCAGCAGCGAGAAAGGATAATAGATCCCCCTTGGAGGAACGGCATAGCGATCCAGATCGACATGAAGAATATGGAGGCCAGCCAGGCTGGCACATCATGGAAGGCGCCCTCGGCGGGCGGAGTTGCGGTGCGCGGGGCGCCTGCTTGGCCGCTAAAAAGGTGGCTTGAGCAGAAGCGGCTGCCAAAAGGAATGGAGGAGGAGGAGGAGGAGGAGGTTAAGTGAGGCCTCTGGAGATTCAAGAAAGGGTCAAGGTCAATTGAAGAACTCGCATCTCGATCCGCACGCTGGAGCTTCGAACCTCCGCCTCCCGATTATTATGTGTTTCTCTCTCGCTCTCTTTCTCGCTCTCTCTCTCTCTCTCTCTCTCTCTCTCTCTCTCTCTCTCTCTCTCTCTGTCTCCCCCCCTGTCCTCCTGCCTCGCAGAGAGGAGCCCTCCCGCGAGACCCCGCGCGCTTCCATTGTGATTCGCTCGGTCCCAGGTGCAGCCATCGTGCTTCCACGATAGACACGCCGAACGAGTTCTTCACACTGGATCAACTGTGCTAGGATTACATCTTCGGTACCCCGCAACAGCTTCCATTCTGTTCTGCCCACTTGGCTTTGCGTAAGTACACCTGGCGTTTCCCAGCTTTCCAGATTTGCCGCCTTTGCCAGCTCCTGTGCTGTCGTTTCCTTTTCCAATGCCCTTGGGGCTCGTCTTGTCCCAGCCTTTGGCTCTCCCTTTGCACTTCGTTCCGTTGTCTTTGGTGGACCTGTTCGTCCGTGCTGTCGGCGAAATTGATGTCTCCCCTGCGGCTGCTAGTGTTTCGAGCCCGCTGCCTTTGCCTTGGCATTCGTTTTCGCAGCGAGGGGGGGCAGTGTGTTTGCTTCTGCCTTGCCAGCTGAAACTTCGCGCACCGTCTTACTATGATGCCGTTGGCTTTCGAGTCTATGCTGGGGTCCCTGAAGCAAGATTGCGCGAGGGAGTGGTTCTGCTCATCGTCATACTCTCTATGCTCCACCTGGCACCTGAAGTAATCGAAGCTGTCGAGTGAAATTCCTGTTTTTTCCTGTCCCTTTACCCTTCGGCGTCTGCTATGCGATCGTCTGCGTTTTCACGCCCATCTTCCCAGTTTTGTCAAACTTCTCATCCTTGCGCTGTTTCATTTTATCCAGCTCAGCCTCACGCTTCTGCTTGTCCAGATGGACGCGGGTCAGCACATTCTTGCAGAATTCGTTAACATTGTGCTCATGCCCACCTGCATGAAAAACCAAGGGCGAATGTCCAGGTCAAGGGACACCATACCGGTGCTGAGGCTTGCCAGGGAACCTAGCCAACTTCAGAACATTCGCGTGACTTGCTTCGGCCTTCAAAGAGACCAGCAATGTACTGGTGAAGTGAAAATCCAACGTGGTAGCGTCTTCGAGCTATCCCAACCACGACTGCTCCTTGGCGGACCTACATGTTGAACTTGCCTGGATTGTAATGTGGGCTGTGCTTTCTGTGGGCGTCACGTCTTGATCACTCTCTGGATCTGCCCGCTCACACCGAAACTGTGGAGACCAGGGATAAGTTTGAGGCAGCTCAGGTTTTTAACCTGGCCCGCTAACTTTCCGACTCTCTCCTTCGTCTTGAGAAAACTGGAGACCTGCTTCACAAAAGCCCCCATGACCTTTGCGATCTGGGCCTTCACCTTCGGGATAAAGTAGACTTTCGCTTTCTTCTAGACTTTGTCAAGAACGTTGTCCATTGTCGTAGGCGTGGGTTCCTGGGCAAGCTGCTCCAGACCCTTCCCCACAGCTCGAACACGCTCCTCGTACTGGGCGGCTGCTGCGGTCTGTGCTTGCTGGCTGGCTGCTTGCACGGCCTTCAACTGGGACTTGACAGAAGCTTCCGTGTGGGCGCTCTTTGGAATGCGAACCTCTTTGTACTCTTCGAACTCGGCGTGGATGCGCACAATATCTGTGTACTTGCACATATTGGTCCTCCGGAAGCTGCGGCCGCAGGCTGCTGCCCAAAATCTGCTGAGTCGTTAAGCTCTTCCATCTCAGCTTCGAAAGATGGTGTTTCTAGCCATCGTGCCGGCACAACAGGTCGAATAGAAGACCGAACCACCATATGTACTCCTGGCTGCTTCTCCTGGCGCGTGGACGGGACGCACTTGCACCTCAACGAAGATAGCTAAGTTTGCCAGACATACTATCTGGCGACACTCTGCTCTCACGGATCGCGACAGACATGCGTCAACAAATCCTCCGCTAGCACGGTGCAGAACTACGACACTCCTTGAAGCTCTAGCTCATATGCCGACGACGATCTCCGGTACAAAATGTTTGAGTTAAAGGTGTTGTGCTGGAATGCTGGAGCTGCAAGCGCCCAGGGGCCTGTGAGCGCGGTGGCGCCTGCTCTGCACAGGCTTCCTTGAATATGGAGTGGCAGCACGCACGATTACCATGATGATAATGATGGTGATGATGATCATGATGACGATGATCGTGATGAGGATGTTGATGAGAACGATGAAACTAAGATGATGATGATGATGATGATGATGATGATGATGATGATAATGATGACGACGACAATGATGATGGTGGTGATGGTGACGACGATGATTATGATGATGATGATGATGATGATGATGGCGACGATGATGATGATGATGATGATGGTGATGATGATGGTGGTGATGGTGATGGTGGTGATAGTGAATGTGTTTGTGATGGTGATGGTGATAGTGATGATGGTGATGGTGATGGTGCTGATGGTGATGATGACGATTATGGTGATGATGGTGATGATGGTAATGATGGTGAGGGTGATGATGATGATGTAGATACTGGCGCTGGTCATGATCATGGTCATCATCATGGTAATCATGAGGAGGAGGAGGAGGAGAATCGAGGATGTGCAAGGATGGGGCCTGGACCACCGCGTCATAGCAGTAGGCGGTGACCTCCTCGCCGCTGCGCTGCATCTCCTCCAGCCAGCTCTCGGCCCGCCCGGGCGAGCCGGACTTGACGCACGCGTGGATCAGGGTGCTGCGCGGCACGGGTCGGCCGGCGGCGCGCAAAAAATCGGCCGCGAGGGGCCCGACGACCTCTGGCTCGCCCCTCGGCTCGCGCCCCCGGTGCTGCCGCAGGAGCGCCCCCATGACCCGAGGTGGCCCCCAGGACTCTCACGGGGAGGCCCTCTCGGCCTGCGCGAGGCACCCCGCGGGAGGCCCAGAGGGCCCCGGGGCAGGAGAGGGGGCCCAGCATCGGATGGATGAGTCGGAGCGTCGATCGAAGGGAATCGGACCGGAGGAAATCGGCAGCAGAGTCGAGAAAAGTCGAATCGGCGGAAGTCGGCAGTCTAGTAGGCCTCCATTGAGAAATCGGAGCCCACATCGGGATCCAAAGTCGACTCAAATCGGACTCGGAAGCCATCGAAATCGAATCGAATTGGAGGAGTCGAGATGAGCCATGCCAGGGACTCCACTGAGCGAGAAGCTCGGGGCACCTTGGACCATGGGCACCTTATAGCAACCCCCGAGCGCTTGAGCGGCCACGACCTGCTCCAAAGGTTCCCTGAGTCGACTGCCGTGCTCAAGAGTTCCAAAATCCTGCCTCGATGTGTCGGCCTTTGCTTGGATTGATCTGGCTGGATCCCCACGAGTCGAGTGGCGAGAATTCGTCAAGCCCTTGGGGAAGGAGGGGGCGGGGCCTTCTGAGAAGGCCGCGGGCTTCTCAGGAAGCGCCCCTCCCCCCACTGGCCGCAGTCCGACGCGGGCTGCTCCGAAGGCGGGCGGGCCCCCAAGAGGCGCAGCGCCTTCTCCCGAGGCCGCTCGGCCCTCGCCCTGCGCACCGGGCGAGGCCCACGGAGAAACAGAGGCCGGCCCCCGAAGCTCTCCCGGCGTCCTGGCAAGCCTTTCGAGCCGCGTCCAGCCATAGCCACACGGGCGCCTCCCCGGGGGCCCCAGGAAGGGCCGGGAGAGTCCGACAACACCTGGCCTTCGTCTGTGGTGTAAGATCCCCAGCGCCCCGCGGCGATAACGACGACGAAGACGACGACGGCGATAAAGGCGAGGACGAAGGCGAGGGCGACGACATCGACGACGGCGACAACGACAACGACGACGACGGCGACGAAGGCGACGACGACAACGACAACGACGACGACACAGGCCACGACGACGACGACACCGAAGAGGGCGACGGCGTCGACGACGACGGCGCCGACGACAACGAAGACGACGAAGACGACGAAGACGATGCCGATGCCGACGGCGGCGGCGGCGGCGCGCGCCTGAAGCTCACGCCGTCCATGGGGACGCAGCGCTCGCGCATGACCCCTGCCCAGCGCTCGGCGCGCGCCACGTCCCCGGCCTGCGACGGGGGGCGGGGCGCTTTCGGCCTGCACGTGGTCTTGTCCAAATCCACCACCTCTTTTGTTCCTCCTCTTCCTCCTCCTCCTCCTCCTCCCGATCCTCCTCCTCCTCCTCCCGAACCTCCCGATCCTCCTCCTCCCGAAGCGTGTCAGTAGGGCGAGCCGGGCGTTTCGCCAGAGACTTCCTCATCATTTGTCATCCTTACGGTTGGAATACGGAGCAATGTCACTGATGGTGGGCGGGCTGTGTGTTCGAAGTGTGGCCCTCGCCCTAGCGCCGCGCACATTCTTCTCAAAAGTTTGCAAGAGCTTCACGGTGAGGGGGGCGGGAGGTTCTCGAAATGTGGCGCTCGCACTAGCGCCGCGCACATTGATTCTCCTTTCCAAAAAGAAAATAAGCTCTACCCCCCCCTCCGGCGTTATCGGCCCCCCTTTCGGGTATGTAAATCATATATGATTATGACCACATGTCCGTTCTAGATATGAACTTACACTATCCCAGGGGGCCGGCATCGACACCCTCTGAGGTTCCCTTGTACAAAACGATACGCGGGGACATCTTTTGTTCTAACATAACACTGTTTCGCAATCCCTTGCAACAAATGCTACGTGCACACGCGCGCGCCGTCGCGCGGGCATGCCGAAATCCTGCAAAAACCCTCGGTGTCGGAAGGATTTCGCAATCGAGTTCCCAAAACACATACAAACACACAGGGTTTCGCAACACTGATTTGCTAAAAAAGCTTACGCGCGAGCTCTTGCGAAATCTTAAGAAAACCATAGGTTTTTCAAGTTTTTCACAAAATGCTAGCAAACGGGCTTCGCGCGCGCGCATGTCGAAATCTGTCGAACGCCCTTGCGCGTGTGCCATCGCGAGAATCCTCTGCAACAAAAGAGACGAAGTGCAGACGCGCGCGTCGTCGCGCGCGTATGCCGAAATCCTTCAAAACCCATCGGCTTCGGAAGGATTTCAACATCGTGTGTCCAAAAAACCTACGAAAACACAAGGTTTCGCAACACGGATTTTCAACAAAAGCGTGCGCGCGCGCTCTTGCGTCGTCGTCGTCGTCGTCGCCGTCCTCCCTCCTCCCGCGTCGTCGTCGTCGTCGCCTACGTCGTCCTCTGTCTTTCCTCGTGTTCGCCGTCGTCGTCTTCTTTGGCGTCGTGGTCGTTTCCGTCGTCGTTGTCGCCGTGGTCGTCCTTCCTCCTCCTCCCTCGTCGTCGTCGTCGTCCGTCGTCGGCGTCTCGTCGTCGTCCCTCGTATTTCGTCGCCGTCGTCGTCGTCGTCGTTGTCGTCGTCGTCTTCCCTCCTCCCTCGTCGTTGTCGTCGTCGGCGTCGCCGTCCTTCCTCCTTCTTCGTCATTCGCGTCGTCGCCGTCCTCCCTCCTCCCTCGTCGTTGTCGTCGTTGTCGTCGTTGTCGCCGTCGTTGTCCTCCCTCCTCCCTCGTCGTCGTCTTCGTTGGCGACGTCGTCGTCGTCTTCGTCGTCGTCTTCGTCGGTGTCGGCGTCGTCGTCTTCGTCGTCGTCGACGTCGGCGTCGTCGTCGTCGTCGCCGCCGTCGTCGTCGTCGTCGTCTTCGTCGTCGGCGTCGTTGACGTCGTCGTCGTCTTCGTCGTCGGTGCCGTCGTTGTCGTCGTCGTCGGCGTCGTCATCGTCGTCGTCGTTGTCATCGTCGTCGTCGTCGGCGTCGGCGTCGTCGTCGTCGGTGTCGTCGTCGTCGTCGTCGTCGTTGTCGGCGTCGTCGAAGTCGTTGGAGACGTCGGCGTCGTCGTCGTAGTTGTTGTCGGCGGCGGCGTCGTCGTCGTCGTTGTCGCTGTCGTCGTCGGCGTCGCTGTCGTTGCCAAGTGCCATTTGGTACCCACCGTCACGGTCTTAAGAAATTTTCCAAACCAAGTTGCGGGTGGGTGGGTGGGAATTTTGCGCGAGCAGTGGAGTGGACAACTCACTGCGAACAGAAATTAGTTTCAACATATAGAAAACGGCTTCACGGATGGAGGGCGCTGGTTTTCAAAATGCGGCTCTCGCTTTTAAAAACCGCGCACATTCGTTGCACTGCCAGAATTTCAAGGATGCAGGCGGGTGGTTTTCAGAATGTGGTTCTTGCCTTAGCGCCGCACGCATTTGTTCTAAAAAGTTTGCAGGAGCTTCACGGATGGTGGGCTGCTCCTTGTCCAAATGCAAATATCGCCCCAGCGCCGCGCGCATTTTCTTAAGAGTTGGCAACATTGCAAAGATCATTACGGTTGGCCGCCCCAGAAACGGTGTTGCGGCAAGATGTCTGGCTGTCCGGCCGCAATAAGTACGTTTGTTGATTCGCGGTGTTGAAGTCCCATGAACAGCGCTGTGGCACGATTCAGGATCATCAGGACGCGACGCTAACGTTGATTCGCGGCGCTGCAGACGGTAGAATGGCGTGCTGGCTTGGTTCAGGTTTTTCAAACTTTAGTCTTCCAACGGGACACTTCCCTGAGTGAGTAGGAATCCTTGTAGAGACCTGCGGGCAGGAATCTCGGAGGGAGGGTTTATTGCAGCATCGCTGATGGGTCTTAGGATTACACCTGTCTGCATAGTTCTCCTGCTCCTCTTTTCACTGCCTCCTGCTCCTCCTCCTGCTCCTTCTTCACATCCTCCACCTCATCCTTCTCCTCCTCCTTTCTTTCCCTTTTGAACAGCTCCTCCCTGTCGCACCCAGAATCGTGTCGGTAGGGCGCGACGGGCGTTTCGCCTGAGACTTCTTCATCCTTCATGATCCTCAAGCTCAGGCAATGATGCAACGGTTCCACTGATGGTGGGCGGGCTCTTTTCAAAATGTAGCCATCGCCTCAGCGCCGCGCACAGTCGTCTCAAACATGTGCAAGAGCTCTACGGGTGGAGGACAAACCGTTTTCAAAATGCTGCTCTCGCCTGAGCGCCGCGCGCATTCGTCTTCACAAATTACACGAATTGCGCGGAGGGAGGGCGGGTGGTTTTCAAAATGTAGCTTTCGCCTTAAAGCCGCACGCCTTCCTCTCAAAAACTTCCAGAACATCACGGAAGGAGGGCAGGTTGTTTTTCAAGATGCGGTTCTCGCCTTAGCGCCGCGCGCAGTCTGATTCAAACATTGCAGGAATTTCACGGACAGAGGACGAAGCCTTTTCAAAATGTGGCTCTCGCTTCGGCGCTGTGCTGGTTCGCCTGAAGAGTTTACAGCAGCTTCGAAGATCATCATGGTTGACTTCGCAGCAATAATGTGTTGGCGCGATATAAGATTGCCAGGGTCAACAGTAACGCTGATCCGCGGCGTTCAATTCCCAGGAATGGTGTCCTGGCCCGGTTCAGGATGTTCAGGCGGTCGGCTTCCAGCGGGGCAGTTCCTTTATTAAACAATGAATCCCTGCAGGAACCTATGAAAAGAGAACTTGGGGGGAGGGTATGGTATAACATCGTTGATGAGTCTTGGGTTTACACTGCTCCTCATCCTTCTCCCTGCTCTTCCTTCTCCCATGGCCAAGCGCGTTCAGATCATATATCACCATTGGGCAGGGTCCCAGGGCTCACAGCCCCCATCCCCCTGATGGGACGGGGGGAGGACGACAACGGCGACGACGACGACGACCACGACCACGACCAAAACCACGACCATGACGACGCCGACGACGACGACGACGACGACGACGACCAAAGACCACGACCACCACAAAACCACGACCACACGGGGGGGACCCATCGCGCGGAGGGGGGCGGGGCCGAAGGCATCAACATGAGAGGGGGGGGGAGCCGGAGCCCTGAGCCAGGCCGTGGCGCTGAAGGCTCTCCAGGACCAGCGGAGGCGCCGGCACCCCTCGAGAAGCGCGAACCACTGCTCGCAAAGTTCCTGCTCGCAGAGGACCTTGATACGCCATGGGGGATTCACGATGCATTACACATCGATGCAGACGTGTGCTTTTCGGACGTTTGCGAGTGGACACTGTGCGAGTACCCATCGGTCGGAAGAAATAGGTAGACCCATGAAGTAGGAAGGCGTTGGAAGTAGATTGGGCTTCCGCCCCACTCGTGGGACGCGCTCGGTGAACCCCTCCCTCCTCTGACCGAGCACTCGGCGAAGGCGGCCAGGGGAGGGAAGCGCACAAAAAACCACAGCGCGAGGCGTGCCAGGCGGGGACCTAAGTACCTCTCTCCACGGCCGGGGGCAGCGACCCCTTCGGGGACCACTGGCGGGCGGTGGATCTGAATGTGTTCGGCCCCCCAGGGCCCGAACGTCTCAAGATCCACCGCCTGCCGAGGTCCCCGACGTCCAGGGCTGACAGAATCCACTCAAGGGAGAACTTCCAGGGACACCCAACGTGCGCACGGCACTGCATTCCTAAGTGGACCCGTGCGGGGTGGCTGACCAACGTCCAAAAAACAGGCGCATGTGCCTGGCAAAACGCAGGCCGAGTAGCTAAACTGGCTGGGGACTACACCGGTACACTCGAATGCCGATGTCGAGTGGACCGGTGCAGATCTCCTCGGTCGACTTGCCGCGTACGGCACACTGCCCGAAGAAGGTCGATCCCCCAAGCGGTGGTCGTGGATCCAGACATACGATGTCCTGATTATGTCAATACGGGCTCCCCAGAAGTCCCGACCCCTTCCCCAAGGCCGGTTTCGCACCCCGAGTCGTTTTTTCGACGGTCCCGAGGAGGAGGAGGAGGAGGAGGAGGAGGAGGAGGAGGAGGAGGAGGAGGAGGAGGAGAAAGAGGATGAGGAGGAGGGAGGAGGCGGACGAGGAGAGGAGGAGGAGGAGGAGGAGGAGGAGGGGAGGAGGAGGAGGAGGGAGGAGGAGGAGGAGGAGGAGGAGGAGGAGGAGGAGGGAGGAGGCGGGCCCCGAGAGGCCAAAAACGGCCAAGAACCGCCGGCAGCGATGCTTCCACGACGCGAGCACGGGCCCGTTGCTCCTCCCGAACCCTTTTTTGTGGACGGTCCCAGGGCCTGGCGAGGGCACCGCAGAGGCCGACAACGGAGGAACCCCGCCCGGCGAGGAGGAGGAGGAGGAGGAGGAGGAGGAGGAGAAGGAGGACGAGGAGGAGGAGGAGGCAGAGGAGGAGGCGAGGAAGAGGAGGAGGAGGTGGAGGAGGAGGCGGAGGAGGAGAAGGGGCAGCAGCGGGTGCAGGAGCAGGAGGAGGAGCCGAGTGCAGGCAGGAGGAGGACGAGCCCAAGCACGACCGGGCCGCCTCCAGCGAAGGCCTGCCCCTCTCACTTCCTCCCTCGGCGCACCACCTCCGCCTTCTCCTCCTCCTCCTCCTCCTCCTCCTCCCTCCTCCTCCTCCCCCCCCCTTCCTCCTCCTCCTCCTCCTCCAACCTCCTCCGAGAGGCACGAGCAGGATCTGGACAGGAGCACCCAGAGCAAGCGGGAGGAGGATGAGCACGAGCAGGGACATGAATACAGGCGGAACCAAGAGCCCGAGGAAGACAGCGATAAGGGAGGAGGAAGTGGAGGACTCCCTCTCGACACGAATTGAATCTATTGCGCTGCCTAGGGGCACTTGTCCTGTTCTGTCGTGATGGTCAAGCGAGAGCCTTGACAAATGTACATCAGCAGCGAAAGTACCGAAGGAGAATGAAAAGGGATGATCACTGCCCATCGACCCCTCGTGCGACACTCATTCAGCCACCAAGGGCGGCCACCACTTGAAGACCTCGCCACTCGTGAGAATCAGATACAAGACATAGATCACCGCAAGAATATAGCCGTAACTCTTGTAGATACTGCAGACGGGCGGTGCCAGGACGAACACGATGACCAGAAGCAGCGTACCCATCATCCAGTATACTCCCTCGGTGATGCCCTTCACGTTTTGCTCGATGGGCGCGAACCCGTTCTGGCAGGAGTAGATTACCCAGGGCAGCGCCATCGCCAGGAACACGTTCTGCACGTTCGAGCCGAGCGCGTTCGCGATCGCGGCGGCGGGCTTGTTCTGCTGAGCCATGAGGACGGACGCGACCGCGTTGGGGAAAGAGGTGCCGATTGCGCAAACCGTGATGCCCAAGAAAGAATTCGGCAACGCGGGTATGTTGTAGTGAATCTGCTCCGCGACCTCGAGCATCAGGTACGAGAACACGGCAAGCCAGAACATCGCCCCTGCGAAGCACAGCGGCCAGCGGCCCTGCCTCCTCTTGTCCTTGGCGTGAGACATGTGTTTTGACAGTGCTGTTGTTCTCAGTTCTAGTGTTCAAGTGCGGCAGTGTATGATAAGACTGCGTGCCAGCGTAAACCCAGAGCAGCGCGGTGTTGCAATCTGCATGCGCACAATGTTTGGTGCGATTACCGTAGCGAAATCCGAAGGGGTGCCATCCAAAGTTTGCAAGCTAAGTGGTGCATCCTGTGTGGTGGTGCCAGCTATGCAATGCAATCTGGTGCATTCTCTGCGGTGCCATTTACGTTGCGACAACTACGTGGTGCAATATATGTAGTGGACGCCGTGTGGTGCAGCCTATATGGTACCAACTACTGTGCGCAAACTATGTGGTGATGACGGTAACGTCAACTGTGGCGGGTTATACCGTGTTGCAAGCTACGTGGTGCAAATACGTTTGCCACGAATGAGCTGCCAACTCCAATGTTCGCGCAAACATCCCCCCACCATCCACCCGCAACCTGTTTGGCAAACCTGCTCGGCCACGAACGGGGCTTACGATTGGAACGGGCTAGCGCGTCTCGAAGACCGCGCTGGCGCGCGCACGCTTGCGCGCATAACGATAACCTGGTGTGGCGCAACTTATGCGACAGCGATGCCGCGCTGCCGCGTCCATGTGGGTCGGTGATTCGGACGGGCGCGATATCATGATGACGCCGACGACGGCGGCAACGATGGTGACAATAACGGTAGTCGTGGCGATGATGGCGATGACGACGGAAAGGCCAACGACGGTGCCGATGCTGCAGACGGCGATGGCAATGATGATGTCCATGTGTCGGTGATGAAGGCGGTTGTGATGATGATGGCGGCAATGGCGGCATTGGCGATGACGAAAACGGCCGTGACGAGAAAGTGCGCGCGCCGACCTTTCAAAAGTACGGCAGGCGTGTTGGTGAACAAACACTGGTGGTTTTAAGAGCTCGACCTCGAAACGTTTCGAATGCCAATGGTGTGGGAAGGACGTCGACACGCGCGCGTAGCGGCGCGCGCATATGGCCCGCATTCAACTATCTGATACGGACTCGCGCGCTGGGCGCATTCTAGATCAGCGCGAACGCACCGCGTGGTGCAATGAGAATGCGGATCCTGGACGAGTTTGCAGAAACGTATGGTTTCCGATGAGTTCAGCAAGTGCTCGCGGGCAGAGCATCTGCAAGACTGTCGGTGGAAACCCATGGGTGGTTCATGCATTTATGTTGAAACGCGTGCAACATTTATGGGTTTAAATGTGCGCGCGCGTGTGGGCGTTGTGTTGTTGCGCTGTTTGTTGGGTAAGGGACGCTTGAACAAATATCGTTTGAGATAACCGAGTGTGCGCGCATGGTCAGCGTGAGGGGGCCGAACGGTCATTCACTGTCCCTGGGCGCGTGGCTGACGTAAGGCTCTGCGGTGCGGATTGTTGTTGGTGTTGCTGTTGCGGTTGATGTTATTGCTGCTGCTGTTGTTGGTGGTGGTGCGTTGTTGGTGGTGCTGTGCTTGCTGTGGTTGGTGTTGTTAGTGCTGCCGTTGGTGGTGGTGGTGGTATTGGTGTTGGTGGTGTTGTTGTTGGTGGTGTTGCTATTGTTGTTGTTGTTGTTGTTGTTGGTGTTGTTGTTGTTGGCATTGTTATTAGTAATGTTGTTGGTGTTAATGGTGCTGTTGCTGCTGTTGGTGTAGTTGTTGTTGTTGTTGCGGTTGTGGTTGTCGTTGCTGGTGTTGCTGTTGTTGTTGTTGCTGTTGTTGTTGCTGGTGTTGTTGTTGTTGGTGTTGGTGTTGGTGTTGTTGTTGTTGTTGTTGTTGTTGTTGTTGTTGTTGTTGTTGTCGTTTGGTGTTTGATGTTTATGTTTGTTGATTGTTGTCGTCGTCCCCCCCGCGACCCGGCCCGCGATCCGCCAGCGACACACCCGCGACCCACCCGTGACCCGCCCGCGAGCCACCCCGCGACCCACCCGTGACCCACACGAGACCCGCCGCGCGACCCAGCCGCGACCCACCCGCGACCCACCAACGACCCACCTGCGACCCATCCGTGACCCACCCACGACACGGCCCGCGGACCACCTGCGACACACCCCGCGACCCACCCACCCACTTTGCTTTCTCCAGAAAATCGGCGCCTGCGGCGGACGCGCTGCATAATTTGCAAAAGTTCGGCGCATGCGGCGGACTGCTTCAGAGCCTCGCAGACTGCCGACGCCCCCGCCGCTCCCGCACTCTTATCCGCAACTGCGGGGTGCTACGTATTATTTGACAGGGATGGCGGGGGTCGATATCGGCATGCCTGCGATGATACGATCTCAGAGGCGACGAAGCAGAACACACATGCAATTTGCAGCATCCCAAAGCATAGCAGACCAGGCCGGGAAAGGGAGTGGATCCGATCATGCTTCTGAAGGGAGAATCTATAGTTAGGTCAGGCATGTCCTCCTACAGGCGGAGTTTGGGAGAAACATAAAGAAGAGTCAAACACATACTCAAACATCGCCAAACAATGGTCCGAACATCGTCCCCAGACTGTGTGTTGACTATCTTTGCATATTCCTCCTCTCTAGGGACACGCCCGACTTACAATCTACAGCGGACCCCACGTGGGCGTGAGGGGCAACGATAGGGGGGGACTGGCAAAGGGGGGGATGCATCGACCTGGAATCAGCGATACATCGCCGATGGATCGGCGATAGGCCCCCGATAGTGAATCCGCACCTTCCTGTGTAGGTTGGAGCTGTCGGGCCCCCATCGGCGATCTCTGGGCGTTTGGGGATCGATGCATCCCCCCCCTGTGCCTTGCCCCTGGGAGGACGCTGCTCTGCGAAATGAGGAAGCACCCCGCGGCTCGAGCTGGAGGGGGAGGGGGAGGAGGACGAGGAGGAGGGCGAGGAGGACGAGGAGGACGAGGAGGAGGAGGAGGAGGAGGAGGAGGAGGAGGAGCAGGGAGGGAGGGAGGGAGGGAGGGAGGGAGGAAAAGGAGGAGGAGGAGGAGGAGGAGGAGGAGGAGGAGAAGAAGGAGGAGTAGGAGGGAGGGAGGGAGGGAGGGGAGGTAGTGAGGGAGGGCGGAAGGGAGGGAGGGAGGGAGGGAGGAGGAGGAGGAGGAGGAGGAGGAGGAGAAGGAGGAGGAGGAGGAGGAGGAGGAGAAGGAGAGGAGGAGGAGGAGGGAGGAGGAGGGAGGGAGGGGAGGGGAGGAGGGAGGGAGGGAGGAGGAGGAGGAGGGACGAGGAGGAAGGAAGGAGGAGCAGGGTGTCGAGGCATCCCCCCCTATGCCTACCCCCCCCTATCTTTGCCCCCGAGGGCGCCCACGGGCGCCCGGCCACTGCACGGCGGGGCCCCCCACGGGCACCACCGCCAGGCGAGAGACCCCGGCGCCGACGAGGCGCCCACGAGGCGCGGAACCTAGGCTGAGGTCGGGCCAATCCTCCCTTAGTGGGCCCTGGAAACGACAGGGCCGTTTTTGTTGCCGGTTCCGTTTTGCCGTTTTTTGACCGGTTCCGGCTCCGGTTCCAATCCTGGAACCGTTTTTGTTGCTGTTTCCTGTGGCCGTTTTTTTGCCGTTCCATTTTCAAGGGGCACTTTTTTGGAAACGGTGAAAAAACAGCCCTGCCGTTTCCGGGGCCCACAAAGGGTCCTCCTATAGGCGGACTGTGGAGGGAGGATAAAAACAATAGTCGAACAATGTTCAGGAGTACCAACAAGGTAAGCAGCAACATCGTCCCCGGGCGATTGTTTGACTATTTTTGAATCTTCCTTCTGTAGGGTGACGCGCCCGACTTAAACCTAGGCGGACCCAACCAATTACAAAAAAAACAGATAAGAGTCCTTGAGAGCAATCGTTGCTTGGGGAGCAGTGTCCTTGACGTCGACCGCGAAGAGGGAGCCCTTCAGCACAAAGTCAATCAGAAAGTGAGGGATGGCGAACAGCTTGTCGGACAACTTCGCATCTTTGGCAACCATCGTGTGCCTGAAGTGCTCGATCGCACCTTTTCCGAACCCAGAACATATGCACTGCCACCGCCGGGGAAACCGATGCCCCAGGACCTGAGGGAGCAAGAGATATTGTATCTTCGGGCCCCACCAGCACGCGAAAATGTCCGTATCTGCTGCCTCTCTGGCTCTTGGGGCATCGGCTCCACAGGTGGCGGATGGGCAATATTTGCAGTCTCGGACCTTTGATGGTGGCATCGTAAGGGTGAAGGTATAGCTCAGCACCGCGCTGCTTGGAGAACTTCACGATGTTGTTCAGCAGCAAGTCGTGTTTCGACCTTGGAATGGAGTTCGACGGCGCCAGGTTCGCCGCATCATTGGACTCCTCTGGATCGTCCTCCACAACGGTCACCCTCAGGGTCTTGTGCATGAACCCTTTGATGAACTGAAGCTCGATGACACCCATCTCCCCCACCACCACCTCGGAGAGATTATCGTACTCCAGCATGTCGTCGTGACCGGTCCCTGCCATCTGGAAGCCGATGGACCCTCGCATCAAAGCCTGGTCGACCGCCGCCTTTCTGGGGGGGACGCGGCGCCCTCTACTCCCACTCCCCCTCCTCCTACGCCGCCTACGCACTCGTGATCGTGACGCCGCCGCAAGGTAGACGTGGACTGATGTGCATCCCCAGAGCATGGTTGCCAGCATCAGGACCCGCATGTCCCTCCCCATGCCCTCCTACCAGCTCGTCCTCTTCTCCTCGCTCTTGCGGTGACGAGGGGTAGAGGGGAACGAGAGGAAGGAAGGACTGATGTGAAGGGGAGGACGGAGAAGGGAGGAGGAGGAGGAGGAGGAAGAGGAGGAGGAGGAGGAGGACGAGGAGGAGGAGGAGGAGGGGGAGGAGGAGGAGGAGGGGAGGAGAAGACGTCGGAGGAAGGGCGCTCCTGACCTCCGACTGCCCCTGGACCATGTCAGGGACCATCCCCGCGGCCCTCCTGGCCGATCCTGCCAGCTCTGGGGGCATTATGGCCACGTCGCGCGTACTGGGCTCAGCACTCCGCCATCCATGCGTGCGCGCAAGCGCACAACTACTCCTTGCCATCGCCTGGACGTCCATTCCCCGTGCATGTTTCGGCTTCGTGCGCTTCTCTTCCGCAAGATGACCCAGGATGCTCCTCGATGGCCCTCGCCGAAAAAATGCACACGTCCGAGCGATGCCGAGACTCTATACGGAGGCCCTTCTCCGAGAGGCGCTCAACGACAAGACCGCGAGGGGAAGCGCTCTCCAGAAGCACACCCGACCTTCTGGCAAGCAGCTCGCCCAACCCACAGCCCCGCAATGCTCGTCAGGACTGGCACAACTGTCGCAGCCGAAAACAAAACCACGGCATCCGCTTCGCTGCTTCTCCTGCCACTGGCCACAATCTAAGATCCCCCCGTGGAAGTACAACCTTTCGCAACACACGTTCGGGAACCACTTCGCACGACCCCCCTCCGCACCCCTGGCCTGAAAAGTGCACAGGCGCTCCAGGAGAAACGGGGCCGGACGAATGGCGAGCCTAACACCTCGAACGCAAAACCCTGCCAATGTTGAAAGCAAGTGGGATGGAGGCAAGAATTTTGTTCTTTCCGCTTCGGGCGCTGTTCTTGCAAAAATGTGTCTTCAACCGCCGGCCCGAGTCTTGAAGCCCCGGGCACCAGGCGCACCAGGCCCGGGGCAGGCCCTCGCCGCTGCCAGACCCACAGCGAATTCAGTCCACCCAGGCATCGAGGGCCCCCACCTCCAAGCCCAGGCCGTGTGGGAGCACGCCCCCGAAGGCTGGCGAGAATGAGGGATCGGGTGAGAGAGGTGGAAGTGGCAGGAGGAGGAGGAGGAGGAGGAGGAGGAGGAGGAGGAGGAGGAGGAGGAGGAGGAGGGGGAGGAGGGGGAGAAGGAGGGGGAGGGGGGAGGAGGAGGAGGAGGAGGAGGAGGAGGAAGTAGCACGAGGATGAGGATGAGGATGAGGAGGAGGAGGAGGAGGACGGCAGTTCGAAGAGAAGAGGGCGGATGACCAAGAGCAGGGGAAGCATGAAGCCCTGTCGAGGAGCAAGAAGAGTCCGCTGCCCCTCAGAGGGGTCTGCCCCGAGCAGACACTGCCAGCGCGGAGGGCAGGGCAACAAGGAGGACGAAACCCCCAAACGAGGAGGAGGAGGAGGAGGAGGACCTTTTGGACTTTTTTGTGCACCTTTTGACCAAGCACGGGGGCGTGCGCGAGAGAGAGAGGAGTGGAGGAAGGAAGGGAACCAGAGCGAAACGCCCGCCCGAGCCATGGAGCCCACCTGCCGCAACAGGCAAACACCCCAGACCTGCGCAAGCCAGCCTACGCCCCTCCAGACGGAGGGGGGTGCACTCACCTCAGGAGAACGAGGTGGAGGAGGAGGAGGAGGAGGAGGAGGAGGAGGAGGAGGAGGAAGAGAAGGAGGAGGAGGAGGAGGAGGAGGAGGAGGAGGAGGAGGAGGAGGAGCAGGAGTAGGACGACGAGGAGAAGGAGGAGGACGACGACGCCGAGGAAGAGGTGGCGGGGCACCAAATCAGCAGTAGCAACCTCGACCGAGGAGCGATATGCGAATGGTATCAATGAACAGAGAAACAATTTCTGTACTGGAAACTGCTGTCATGTGCTGGTTGGTTTTCTGATCGATCTAGATATTTAGAGGCGCGGCAGCGCTGAACGACATGTAAAAGCGCTGCTTGTGGAAGGAACCGTGAAGGAAGTCTTCGTGCTCATTCGAGAGGAGGCGAGGAAATACAAAAAAACAAAAATATAATAGGCAGAGCAGGAGAAGGAGGCCGATTCCGAAGTGCGCGAGGCTTTCCTCGGAGGATCGCTAAGTCTCCCTTCCCAAGCATCCGGCTGCTCGAATTTGTTCGATGTCCGGACCACTTCCCCAGGGCCTGTTCTTCGTCCTGCGTCGCTTTCTGACGCTCCCGAGCCCCGGCGAGGGCCGGCCCCTGGAGTCCGAAAACGGCCCAGAAATGCCCTCTCCATTTTTTTCTGGAACCTCGGACCTCTGGGTTGTGAACTCGCGTGGCTGGATTCGGGGAGGTCTGGCGGAGAGGGACGATCGAATCACCCGGTCCCGCACTGGAGGACGCCATCTCCGATCACAGCCAGAGTCGCGCGGCGGACTCCCAACGATGACAATGATGACCTGCAGAGTTCGTTTTTTCAGGTGTGGCCTCAGAGTGCACTGAGGCGCGTCTTGAGCCAAAACGGGTACGGACCCTCATCCGTCCCGCGGCTCGCGCAAGGTATCGTGACAATTTCGTGCCCGAGTAAGCATCCTAAATTCTGCCCCTGGTGATTTGTCACCAGGAACAAGAAGTCAGAATCCCGGGCGTGCCGGCCCATCCGCTTTCGAACGGGTGTTCCTTCAACCAGAACATCCGCACTGATTCTGACACGAGCGTCGTCGACTATCGAGCGGATTCCCCGCCCGACCACCGACTTTGAGCGAAATGCACTATTGAGCATCGGCTGTAAATACAATAAACTAAAGTTACGGGGCCGGCCCCCAGAGGCTGGCCGAAAATACAATACAATTCATAATACACATGCACATGTCAATGGCAGTGAGATTGCCCCTGCGCTCTGGCAAGGATTGAACGCCTGGCGCACCAGCAGCTCTCTTGTCGCAGCGGCGGGTGAAGACGGCTGGCGCACCGGCAGGACTCTTCTCGCAGCGGCGGGCATTCTGGCCGCCTCTCGTGGCCAGACACAACACTCGGAATCAGAGGGCCGGCGGGTCCTGCGCTCTGGACGTTCATGCATGACATGACTATTGAACTAATTCATAAAAGTATATAGTATACGGAAGCCCTTGCTCCCGCGCGTCTCCTCGGCTGTCGAACGGTTGCCCGCCCGACAGTCGAGAGCAACAGGATGGATGCCGACAACGAGGTCACCTGTGACGTGTGCACTATTGCTCGAGATTCTGATCAATGCGTGCCACCGTCTTTGACTCCAGTCAGGTTCTCAAGGCAAAATATGCATACACAGTTATGACTCCAATGACCTGTCAACACAATGAGCGATACGTGCCTGATGGACTTACAAGCTCCCCCCATCCGCAGTACACGACAAATGAAGCTGTGGATGCCCACGTCAGTCCATGGCCTTTTCAAGTGCCGCCCATCTCCGCTCAGAAGCTCCAGGTCTGTTTCGCGGTGCTCCTCTGCGGCGTTTCTTTCTAGGGCCGGCCTCTTCTCCAGCTTCAGCGTCTGGGCGTTGACTCGCGCGATCGGCCCCTGCGTCTCCTGATACGGCAGCGGCAGATGAGGTGGCTCCACGGCCTCCTCCAGTCAGCTGCGCCGTTGCCTCGATCACGGCGTGCAGCTGCTCGTTGGTAATGCCGTGGTTCCTGACGAAGGCGGCGTAGGGCACGCGCATGTCGTCGGCGTAGTTCGCGCACACCTCTGGCAACGAGGTGAGATCAGAACCTGGAATCCACTTCTCACACATAGCCCTCAAGAGCTCCCCCCAGACTGGGTGGTCGCGCGGGACGTCCGGGTGGACGATGCCCTCAAACATCACAGTGCCCCCTCCTGGTCCACCTTGTGCTGCTGCAGCGCCTGGTCGTGGAGGTTGCGCAGGATGGGGCGTGGAGGGCCCGTCGCCTGCCATGTCGCTCCTGTTGGCCCGTCCCGGTGTCACAGAAGACGCGTGCGCAGCCACCGTGCTAGGGAGCTGCCCCTCCATGGCATCGATGAGGACCTTGATCACCTCGGGCGTGGCCAGCTTGGTCAGCGCGTCGGCGACCATCTCCTTCGTGGGGCAATGGCTGAGCTTCACTCGGCCCTGCTTCCCCTCCTCCAACAAACGCTTGGCACGCACGGCATAATAGCGAGTGCGCCAGGTTGCGCCCAAGCTAGCAGCAGTGAGAGCAGCCTGGTTGTCGATCGTGACCTCGACGCAGTTGGGGTAGATGCACAACGTGGAGAAGAGGTAGCGAATCCCCTCGGTCACCTGCCAGCCCAAGGCGGCAGCGCAGAGCTCGGCCTCGGCCGTGGATAGCGCGGACAAATCTGCCCGGCTGGAGCGCCACGTGATCACCGAGCCACCCCAGCAGATGATCAGACCATTCTGCGACTGGGTGGCTGCCCCGGCGAACCCCGCATCTGAGTAGACGCGGAGGTCGTTCTCGTCGCCCTGGGCGGTAAGGAGAAGACCTTGGTCGGCTGTCCCTGCCAGGTACCGTAGCACCTTGTGGGAGAGGTCGCGGCTCCATGCTCCATACTTGGTGGTGCTTGAAGCCAAGAGGGAAGTCCAGTAGGACACATCTGGCCTGGTGCGCGTGGCAAGCCAGTTGAAGGCCCCGGCGTGCGCCTGCAGCTCCTTGAGCTGCTCTCGCTGTGGCGGGTCCTCCTGCTCAGGAATTTTGTCCATGGAGACGCTTTTGATGGATTTGCAACGGTCCATCCCGTGCTTTGCCAAGAGCTCCTTGGTGAACCGCTCCTGGGTGAGGTAGATGTCTCCGTTCGAGCGCTGGTACCAGTCCAAGCCCAGAAAAGTCAGGGACACATCTGGCGCGAGGAC